AAGAATGCAATAAAATTAGTCTGGCATGATCTGTTTTTGACAAACCCATGTTGGCTTTTGGCTATTGCTTTGTTTGCTTGTAGGTGTTTGCTGATTTGTTGCTTGATTATCTTTTCCAGAATCTTTCCTGGTATTGAGGCCAGCCTGATAGGTCTATAGTTTCCTGGATCTATTTTTTTCCTTATTATGCATTTACCCAAAAATGGCATATAAATTTGAATATCGAACAAGCATTCTCAAGATAATTACACACAGTAGCAGTATCTTTTGTATTCCATACAAAATTCAGAATGACAACAATAATATATTTTGAATTGAATCAAATAAGGCACTGAAGCTGGAATACATAAAACCGTTATCTAGTAGGCTAATGTTCTCCATGAGTCTGGAAGTATATCTGTATGTATATGCCAGTAGTGAGTTGTCAATATTTTTACTACTGGTTCGGGCACGCTCGTGCAAGCATCCAGGCGGGTGGGCGAAGCCTCCTGCCATTCTACTACCAGTTTGCCTGATCCAGGCTGAACTGGGAGCAACCCACCTCTGGTATATGCATGGACTAAGTAGATTTTAGTCTTTCCACTATTATGACGGTCTTCAGCTGAAGAAGTCCACTAAGATATATTATCTACAAAAAAAAATTCCAGGAAAAGCTATCCATAAGTCTTATGAAAAACACACTCAAGGGGGAAATTTATCATACTGTAAGATTAATGGAAGCTGAAGTAGTTCTACCGTTAATACAAGTCAATGTATTGCCAAGTATTTCTGAGAAAAGTCTCTTGAGTACCACTCTTCCTGAACAAAAAATACCAGATGCCACCAGCAAAACACAATATACACTCAAACTATTCTGCAATTAATTAACATGTAAATATAGTTTTAAAAGCTTCAGCTGTACTGAAGGGGCTGCTACTGAATGCTAGAATTGGAAGAATGCCCTGTTCAAATTAAGCCTTTCTGGTCAAGCCCAGATATACATTTTAATAGGGAAGTATTATTACCACACATTCCCATAAATTCCTTCCCAAAATGAAAATCAGCTTGTTATAATGATGAACGATTATCTTTGCAGAGATAAAATACTGGCCACAAAAAAAATCAATAATATCAAGAAAAGAAATTAGCACATAGAAACAATCACTGTATCATCAGCAGCCCAGCAGAGGTGGGTTCCTACCGGTTCAGACTGATACGGCCAAGTAGGTAGTAACTCGGCCTGCCACGCCCCGAACTATCAGCGTCACCGTAGGCACTGCCATCTTGCTTTTTGCTTCTGCACATTTTTTTACTACTGCACACAGCGTGCATCAAGCACATGCACGAAGCGTGTCCCTGAGTGAATTAGCAGTAGCAGAAGCCTGAACCCACCCCTGTAGCCCAGGAACCATATTTCTTAAAAATAAGACAAATATGAAGAACCAACTGAAAATGTGTAAATGAATGCACTGAATTTAACAAAATTCAACATGCTCTTACAAATATAATTCAGGACTTACGCACATGATCCAACTTTATTCTACTTTTTCCATTTTTTGTTTGTTTAGTATGGTTGGAAAATAATCAGAATAAGCTATTTCCAATCTTGTGTTCAACAGATGGTAACTTATAAATATCAGTAGCAGTTTTCACTTAACAAGGAGATATGAGATCAAAACACGTGCATTATTAGATTCAAAATGAGTAACGCTATTTTCCTCCAACTTCATTTTATCTTATTTGTGTGGCACATCCAAAGAGTGGAAATCTAACAATAAGAGGCCAACAATGCAAATGCCGTCCTGAAATCCTATTCTGAAATATCAGCTACAGCTAACTTGCATTTTTAGGTGCTTATGTATATCATACTGTCATTTTTCATGGCAGGCCAGAACCCATCTGAATCTTACCTGTACAGGTAATCCTTGACATATGATGGAAATGGAGCCTGCCCATTTGTCGTAACAGGCATAAAATGAGTGACTTGTGTGACCGATCCAATTTTATGACCTTTTTGTAGTGATTGTTAAGCAAACACTTTGGTCATTAAGTGAACCAATAGTTTACTATGGGCAAAAGTTTTGGCAAAAAACAGAAATTTCAATGTTTGGCAAAACCATCATAAAATGCTATCACATGATGCTGCAAATGGCCATGAATGTGTCTGTGTTGCCAAGCGTCAAAAGTTTGGTCATAAAACTGCAAAAAGGACCTGACAATGTCCCCCCTCAACCAGTTGCCGGCTGTCTATAAAACCCTGCATGTTAGTTAGTTAGTTAGTTAGTTAGTTAGTTAGTTAGTTAGTTAGTTAGTTAGTTATCATTATTATTATACAATTGTATCACAGCGGCCAGTTGTTTCGCCGGATTTGGCATTGGTTACTAGTCGGGCCCCACCCAGGGGCCTAGGACGTCGTAACGTATTTTCGTAATATGCGTGCAGATCCAAGCAGTGCGGCTTTTTGCATTTGACTGATGGTGATTTTGTCAATATTTAACTGTTTTAAATGTAATTCCAGTGCTTTTGGAATAGCACCCAGTGTGCCAATTACCACTGGAATTACCACTGCTGGTTTGTGCCATAGTCGTTGAATTTTGATTTTTAAGTCCTGGTATCTTGCGATTTTTTCATGTTCCTTCTCGGCGACCCTGCTATCACCTGGTATTGCGATGTCTATGATTGTGACCTTATTTTTCTCAACCAGTGTGATGTCTGGTGTATTATGTGCCAGTATTTTGTCGGTTTGTATACGGAAATCCCACAAGATCTTGACCATCTGATTTTCTGTGACTTTTTCAGGCTGATGTTCCCACCAGTTTGTTGCTATTTTAATATTATAATTTTTGCACAAATTCCAATGGATCATTTGTGCTACTGAATTGTGCCGCAATTTATAATCAGTCTGCGCGATTTTTTTACAGCAGCTGATTATTATTATTATTATTATACGCAGTGGCTCAGTGGCTAAGATGCTGAGCTTGTCAATCAGAAAGGTCGGCAGTTCAGCGGTTCGAATCCGTAGTGCCGCATAACGGAGTGAGCTCCCATTACTTGTCCCAGCTTCTGCCAACCTAGCAGTTTGAAAACATGTAAAAATGCAAGTAGAAAAATAGGGGCCACCTTTGATGGGAAGCTAACAGTGGCATTTAGTCATGCCAGCCATGCGACCACAGAGATATCTTTGGACAGTGCTGGATCTTTGGCTTTCAAACGGAGATGACCACTGCCCCCTAGAGTCGAGAACAACAAGCATATATATGTGACGGGAATCTTTATCTTTATCTTATCATCTTATAGGACCTAGAAAGCATGCCTTCTTGGAAATGGCTTCTACACTGTGGAACAATTTTACCCTAGAGATCAGTACTGCTGACACTCTTTTGATTTTATGTAACCATCTCATTGGTTTGATTTTTATTTTTTTTTTGGTTCTGGTTCTGCCTTCCAGTGAGTTACCCTCTTTTTGGGGGGGGGGTGTCTTTCTTCTTCTTTTTTTATTTGTAAGCCTTCAAAAGTCACTGCATAGTCAAGCAATCTATTTTATTCAGTACTATTTTAACTATTTTATCAGAATTTTAGTCATGTTTGCCCGTTCAACTTGAAGAAATAAATGGTATAATTTCCTTCACCCACATCACTAACTTTTTCCCAAAACCTGAAAAGCCCATAACTGTAAACTTTGTTCTATACTATAAACTAAAGTGGAAATAAAACTACTTGCCTTATTTTGATGTAATTTATATAATATTCTTCCTTTGTCTAGATACAGAGATGTGGAACAAACTGTTACAACACAGCCTCTCATTTTATAAGGCAGGGATCCCCAACCTCAAGTCCATGGACCAGCATCTGGGCATGGCATGCCAGAAACCAGGCCGCACAAACAAGCAAAGCCCCATCTCTGAGATGCAGGCAGCATGTGAAATCACGCCCCCCTTCACATCCTCAGTCCGTGGAAAACCTCTTTCTATGGAACTGGTCCTTGGCGCCCAAAAGATTGGGGACTGTTGTTATAAGGATTGATTCAAGTTTACTGAGGTTTTTTAATCTATTGGGAGTCATAAGAGGAGAAGGGATAAAAACAGTATTTGCTCTCCCCACCTTTCTTACTCCTCAAATGGTTTCCTATGATGTGGGATATGGCTCTAAATACTCAGCATGGAAGACTCTCTGCCGTTCTAGAATCAGAAGAATTTCTTATGGCTTTGAAGTGGGGGATAAGTGACAAAGGAAACTATTTGCTTTCCTAAAAACGTATGTTTATAATTCAGGAAACAAAGGCATTTTTAACTTTATGGCATGTATTACATAACTTTAATTTCCATTTCAGAATGCTTAAGAGGTTGAGCATATTGTCTCTTCCATCTCTCCTTACACTATAGTACAATGCTTATTTAAAAGTACTAACCTTTGAAAATACATGCATATTACTCTGCTTTATCTTAAATCACTACAAACTATATAAACTACCATTTGCACATTTTTTTATTTTTTTATTTATTTAGGATTTTTTTTTGCCACCCATCTCATAACCAACAATTCTGGGTGGCTTACAGCATAAAAACTTTAAAGCATGAAAAAACATTAAAATCAACTATCATAGAACACAGTGGATAAAAATAATTAACAAATACAAACCATTAACATCAAATGGGAAAGGAAGGAGCCAGACACACTTGGAGGGGGGAGGGAGGATTAAGTTTTAGTTAGTCAACCACCCCCAACATGAAGCTTCCTGATTGGGTCCCAAATTATCTGGCAGAGCCAAATCTTGAGGCTTTTTCAAAATGCCAAGAGGGCGTGAGCCAATCTCATCTCAGGGGGTTAAGATGTTTCAGAGATCAGGAGTCATGGCAAAGAAGGCTCTTCTCCTAGATCCCATCATTCGCTGCTGGGATCTGCAGTTTGGCCCCTCTGCTCCTGTAGGAAGTTATCATCCAGCCCTCTCCCAGAAAAATGAAATATCCTAGGAAATATTGAAAAGGCAGAATATTTCTCTGGATGTGAAAAGAAACCTGTTTCAAAAGACAGAATAGCTCCCTGTAGCTTCCTGCCCATCCCCTCTTTGTCAATGGGCCATTAAGATGGCCAGGCTAGCCCACTTTAGTTTAGTTTAGTTTTTAGTTTTATTNATTATTATTATTATTATTATTATTATTATTATTATTATTATTATTATTATTATTATTATATAGTCAAATAAGGATGCAATGGAATATTGGTATATATGTGAATCTAGTTTCTAGAATATTTTCTTAAAATGAAAGAATATCAATTATAACTGATCAATATGATGTACAATGTCAATAATGTATCTATATATGCTTCATGGATAATCGGTGAGCCTATACACAATTGAAAGTGGTGATGCATAAATGCTTGTAACCTAATGACATGCTATATGTAATTGATGAGGGTTTTATGTTACATGTACTGTTTGTTTAAAAATAAAAAACTTTAAAAAAAAGAAGATCCACAGATGGTGGAAGCCATTTAAATGCATGGTGTGTGGAAAATCTTTAAACAAGAGCTATCATCTTATTCACCATCAAAGGATCCACACAAGGGAGAAAAAGCCACAATAAATGCATAAACTTTAGAGAAAGCTTTAGGAGGAGAAATGACCTAATTTCCCAAAGAAAGATACCCTTAGGTGAGAACATTATGTTAATTCTAGAAAGTTACATTTATGAATTTTCCTATTTAAAGAGACTGAGCATGCAAAGGAATTATTTTCTTAGCTTAACCCAATAGGTTGAACGAGGGATATGAATTTGCAAACAATGGGTATGTGTCATTTTAATTATGATCTGGATTATTGAAGGTATTTATATTTAAGTACAATTTATTTTCTTTTGAAAAGTAAGATTCCTACTCTCCACTTGTTTCTTCTTCCCACGTGATCATATTCAAAAGGGTTTAAATTTCTCTTTTTTTCCTAATCTTTCCCTTTCTGATTCATTAATAGACACCCAAATTATTAGAGTACTTTCCTCCATCCTCGGAAAAGTTGGAATGGTGCAGCCGAGAGATTCTAGGCTTTAGATTCTAAAGTTGCATCCCCAGTGTACAACTGTGACCTGAGCCAGGTACTATGTATAGACAAGCATGGAGCCTTATTTAGTGAAAGGCCTCATAATCTGAGGGAATTGCCACATGCACATAAATGTACAGTGAGTGAGAAGAGCTGAAAGGATGATGGATTCCTCTTTCTCTCTAAAGGACCTAGAATGATGAAAAGCCCCCACCCCAAATGCAAGTGCAAAGTCTTTTTTCAAGCATTACGGCCATACTTTGCTCCTCTAAAGTGTGATGAAGACTAAGAAGTCGTCTAAATCTGATTTTTAAAAAAATATCAATGGTATTGTTACTTTCTGGTCATGTATTATGCTCTTTTACTCTTTGGTTGTATTAAAAATATAGTTACATTCCAATATTTGTATGTATTGGGATGTGGGCATAGTCTGGATTTTAGAGGCTCATGTTGGCTTGAATTTGCTTTTTCAGTGCTGATATTTGAGGCCTCCTTGAATCTCTAGAGCAGTGGTAATCAACCTGGTCCCTACTGCCCACTAGTGGGTGTTCCAGCTTTCATGGTGGGCGGTAGGGATTTGCTGTAACTGCTTTATAAATTTTATATAGTGAAGTTACTTCCCTACTTTATAAATCACCATTACTGTGGAACTGGTGGGCGGTTAGAAAATTTTACTAATAACAAAGATACAAAAGTGGGCGGTAGGTATAAAAAGGTTGACTACCCCTGCTCTAGAGAGCCTTCAGAGTGGCTCTTTTGGAGGAAAGTGAGTTTCAATCCTCCACAGAAATTCACAGAAAGATCACAAATGATTCCTATACAGTAAGGGGAATAAATATATGGGGTAGACAACATCACCACCTGGTGGAGTTGTAACTGGCTGACAAACTACTCAATGAGTAATCCTTCATGACACTACGTAGAGGGAACTAAGCAGTAGAGTACCAAAAGGTTCCTTTTTGGGCCCAGTACTCTTCAATATCTTCATAAATGACTTAGATGAAGGAATAGAAGGGGTACTCATCCAATTTCCTGATGATACTAATCTGGCAGGAATAACGAACACCCCAGTCGACAAGCTCGGGATTCAGAAAGATCTTGACAGACTTGCACAATGGGCCCTATCCAACAAAATAAAATTTAATGTGGAGAAAAGCAAGGTTTTGTACCTGGACAGGAAAAACCAAAGGTACAAGTACACATTAGGTGAAACCTGACTCAAAAACAGTAACTGTGAGAGGGACCTTGGAGTCCCAGTGGACGATCACTTAATCATGAGTCAGCAAGTGTGTGGCAGCTGCCAAAAATAATCGAACCGTTGGTTGTATAAATGGGCATAGAATCAAAATATTAATACTGATTTATAAACTTAGTAAGACCACACTTTGAATACTGCATCCAGTTTTGGTCATCACATTGCAAAAAAGATGTTGAGACTTTGGAAAAAATGCAAAGAAGAGCAACTAATATGATTAAATGGTCTGCCAGAAGTGGGGTTAGGCTAGTCTAGACAACAGAAAACTAGGGGGATCATCCTAGTAGTATTCCAGTATTTCAGTGACTACCACAAAGAGGAAGAGGCCAATTCATTTTCAAAGCACAAGAGGACAGAACAAGAAACAATGGAGAGAAGCAACCTGGAATTAAGGAGAAACTTCCCAACAATGAGAAAAATAAACTAGTTGAACAGCTTGCCTTCAGAAGTTGTAGGTGGTTCAACACTGGAGGTTTTTAAGAAGACACTGGACATTCTCTTGTGTAAAATGATATCGGATCTCCTGCTTGAACAGGGGGCTGGACTAGAATACCTCCAAGGTCCCTTCCAGCTCTATTCTGATTCTATCTAGAAACTTCAATGTGTTATAGTCACCACTGGTTTTCTTAAGTAGACTATTTTTGGAATAGTTTGTTGATTTTTATTTTCGCTGGTTGTTCTTATTTTACAATGCCTTGAGATAAAGAAAGACATGTGTTAAGAGCAATGGAGCAGTTATTGTTTATTTAGAGGTTTCCTCAAAAACAAATTCCTCAATTATCCTTTAATCCTTGTGATGTAAAAGAAATCCTGCTTGCACACCCAGTGAAGAAGAAAAAGCTCCATTATTAATGAAGTTTAATCACACAAGAATACATGAAGGGAAGCATCCACATTATATATACGTATATATTACATCTAAATCTATAATGTACATGTACATTACATCTACATCTATAGGGAGGAGGAAAGAAAACAGTGGGTTTACTCTAGGGTTCTGCCTGAGATGCAGTTCTCTCCAAAATCTTAATTAACAATGTAGATGGGGGAATAGAAGGAAACTCAACAAATTTGGGGACAACACCAAGGTAGAGTGAATAGCCAACGCTTTAGAAGATAGGCTCAAGGTCCAGAAGGATCTCAACAGATTTGAACGCTGGGCTCTATTCAAAATTATGCAGTTCAGCTTTTAAACAGGCAGGGAAATAATAAAAGTACTTCTATGGAAAAGGAGATATCTGGCTCAACAGCCAGAACTCTAGAAATATCCCAAAGAACAACAACAAAGATGATCAGGAGATTAAAGCGTAAACAGTTGCAGGAACTAGGTTCTAACATAACCGAAAGAAGAACAAGGGATGACATAAGAGGAGCCTTCTAATACATGACAGGCTGTCACAGAGAAAATTTCTGGCAGAACAGTTAACTAGTGCATCAGTTGGACTCCAGAGGTTTTGGGTGCTCTATCACTGCAGCTTTTCAAGAAGACATTGGACAGGCATTAGTTTACAATGGTGTGGGGTTTCCTGCTGGAGCAGGGAATTGGGCTACACAACATGAAATATCCCTTCCAACTATATTACTGGGTATTCTATATTTTGAATCTCTTGAGTAAGAAGAAGGCTGGATCAGATTTGTTCTGGGTGCCTTCACTCCCTGTATAAAAGAATGTAGCTTTCTACAGGAACCCTTCTTAAAAGTGAGAAGGTGCACATGGGTGTAACTCTGTCAGAAGCAATTGGATAAAGAAGGGTTATGGATGTGGGGGGAATAACCTCCTCCTTTCTGGGCCCTGATGGAAAAGGCACCGTTTCCACCCTTTGCATAAGCCCCTTCCACGCACACAGGAACCCGACAGGTGTGTCCCACTAAAACGAGAATAGACGCCGTGCGATTCCCCATTCGGCCACTGGAGGGCGGACGTCAGAGGTGATTTACCATAGGAGAATGAGAGGGAAGTGACCTCACTGGATCTGACGACTCTATTTAACCCTTTGAGCTTCGCAGGAGGTAGGAATGGGTGCCGGAAAGTCTTAAAGGGGGGAGAAGTACAGGTGGGCAGAGTAAGTGGCTGTGTGTGAGTGTGTCTCCACGTGCAAAAGAGGAGGGGGGACAGGGGGTTCCTGGTGCTAGAGAAGGAAGGGAGAGAAGCCAAGTCCCCATGCAGGTTCCGTCTTCGGAGTCCTGGGGGTGGGAGAGCCCGGGATCCCATGTTCCAGTGCCGTCCCTTTCCACGCAGGTGGCAGGCAGAGGGAAGCGGTGCTCAGCACGAGCCGCGTCGCCCCAGGAACAAATCCCCAGAGAGGAGGGAGGGTCCCGGGGAATACTCCGCCCCTCCATAGCCTGGAGGAAGCTCCGAGGTCGGAGAAGGGGAGAGCTTGG